CCTCCTTAAATGAAGCTCTAGCTATTTGTATTTCTGTTTCTAACTGTTTTTGTATATTGGACAGCTTACCGTGCACGTTTCTGATTTATATTTAATGTTTGTGTTTATAAGGGCGCCTACAACCCCATCCGTTTACAGTCTGCTTTATTGTCCAACGAAACCGTTTGAAACCAGTCAAGGGTTCGGACCAGTCAAGGGTTCGGACCAGTCAAGGGTTCGGACCAGTCAAGGGTTCGGACCAGTCGATCTGATCTGATCAGTGGGTCACTTATTTAAAACATACTGGTCGGTGGTTTGAGCTAACACATGAAGGATCTACTGGAAATTATCTACCCGAGTAATATGTGATTTGATTGATACAAAAGTATAACTTGCGTGTTGAAGAAACCGGTGACTGCTGGCAACTCCTACAGTGACGAACGGTCGACCTCAACCCTTGTTTATCAATCCTGTATCTAGCTTTTCTATTTTTTTTTTCGTCTCCACCACAATAAATGCTATATTATCACTATAGTTGACTGGTGGAAATTTTGGAGGAGGGACGCTTTTTCTGTAGTGATAATTGCTTCTCGATGTGTATATTGCGACTGCTGGTAACTACAGGTTATATGAAATTCACAGTATACGTCTGGTATTTCAAGAAAAGAGAAACTAATGAAAGTCACTCCACTCCACTAAGTACCATTATAATACTGGTTAGTTGCCACTACAACACTGTATTCTGCTATTCACTGGTATCACTAGATTATATGCGAGTACACTAGCAAGCCAGGAAGATTATTAAAAACAGCTGACCTCTGTGGTAAGTTTCTGGCGACTTCTGGCACCTGCCTCTATAGGCTTATCACTTCATTTACAAATTTTACAAATTTGGTGGCCCGGTGGCCTGGTGGCTAAAGCTCCCGCTTCACACACGGAGGGCCCGGGTTCGATTCCCGACGGGTGGAAACATTTCGACACGTTTCCTTACACCTATTGTCCTGTTCACCTAGCAGCAAATAGGTACCTGGGTGTTAGTCGACTGGTGTGGGTCGCATCCTGGGGGACAAGATTAAGGACCCCAATGGAAATAAGTTAGACAGTCCTCGATGACGCACTGACTTTCTTGGGTTATCCTGGGTGGCTAACCCCCCGGGTTAAAAATCCGAACGAAATCTTATCTTATCTTATCTTATTCACCTGTTTTCAAATGACACTTTAGCCTTTATCATCAATATACTAGGGAACCACTGTACACTATGTATACTCAATGTTATCAGGGAGACTTTCTTTCCTCTGACACGAAAAGTTCAATTATTATTGATGTGAAGACGATGTAATCAGTCCATCACCCTTGAAGTCGTAGAATTTGAGGTTGTCAGTCCCTCGGCCTGGAGAAGTTCAGTTCCATAGTCAGGAACTATCTGAAGATCAAGCGACAGTGCGGAGACTTAAATACTGTCAGAAGGAGAGGTGCAGAGTAGTAGTAGTAGTAGTGAGAGTGTAGCCACTGAGAGGTCAGGTCCCTCTCAGATCCAACAGTTCTCACTGTTCCTGCCTACTTTCTGTATTCGACTGAAGAAGCCTATTGTGTAGGCGAAACGTTTCGGAATAAAGTTGCCTAACTGTTGCCTATGTGTCTTACCTACCAACCTGTCGGTATTGTATACCATTTTGATGTTCATCTTGTCAGACACTGCAACACATGGCCTCTTGGTACAGAAAACGCCTTAGACACCCCTTTCAAGTGAGAACTGTTGGATCTGAGAGGGACCTGACCTCTCAGTGGCTACACTCTCACTACTACTACTACTACTACTCTGCACCTCTCCTTCCGACAGTATTTAAGTCTCCGCACTGTCGCTTGATCTTCAGATAGTTCCTGACTATGGAACTGAACTTCTCCAGGCCGAGGGACTGACAACCTCAAATTCTACGACTTCAAGGGTGATGGACTGATTACATCGTCTTCACATCTCTACTGTTCCTGCCTACTTTCTGTATTCGACTGAAGAAGCCTATTGTGTAGGCGAAACGTTTCGGAATAAAGTTGCTTAACTGTTGCCTATGTGTCTTACCTACCAACCTGTCGGTATTGTATACCATTTTGATGTTCATCAATTATTATTGTTTTTTTCACACGGGACACAGGCCTATGATTCCCCTCTGGCAGTAAACTCTGCTAGGTAGTGCACACTAATTCTCCTTTTTTGACTCAGTATATAATGTTTTCCGCCCAAGATTGGTTCCAGGCGCTAGAGGGATGTATCGTATAGGATTGATGGCGCATATTAAAGTTCTAGCACGTAAGAGCGACCGTGAAAACACGAGAAAACCCGGAGCACAACGAGGCACGCTGACACGCTGACACGCTTGACAATCCACTCTGTCTGACTTTTTTGGGTTATCCCAGGTTCTCTAGAACACATATGCTGCTATGTATGATAATTCTATGTAACTGTATTTGTGTATAATGAATAAACTTACTTATAATCCTTGTGAAACACTTGCCCCAATAGGATGTCTTACTGATTCCGTTCCATTGAGAACTACACTTAGAGATCTACCATGAAGGTAATCACTGAGGAGACATAGCGTAGAGCCTGCAATTCCCAGTGCTTGAAGTTTTGCTAAGAGGCCCTGGTGCCACACCCGGTCGAAAGCGCCAGCAATGTAAACAGAAAGAGACAGGCGCTCCCTTTACAGGCGACGGAAAAGAATAACAGAGCGGCTAAAAGAGGTCAATATATCTGAAATGCGTAGGGAGACACTGGTCAGAGAAATAGCAAGCATCGAACTTAAGCTAAAAGAATCCTTTAGGAGTCAGGAATCGCGGGAAGAACTAAAAGCCATAAATGAAATCGAAAGAAACCCAAAGTATTTCTTCTCCTATGCCAAGTCAAAATCGAGAACAACGTCCAGTATTGGGCCCCTACTTAAACAAGATGGGTCCTACACAGATGACAACAAGGAAATGAGTGAGCTACTCAAGTCCCAATATGACTCAGTTTTTAGCAAGCCGCTAACCAGACTGAGAGTCGAAGATCAAAATGAATTTTTTATGAGAGAGCCACAAAATTTGATTAACACAAGCCTATCCGATGTTATCCTGACGCCAAATGACTTCGAACAGGCGATAAATGACATGCCCATGCACTCTGCCCCAGGGCCAGACTCATGGAACTCTGTGTTCATCAAGAACTGCAAGAAGCCCCTATCACGAGCCTTTTCCATCCTATGGAGAGGGAGCATGGACACGGGGTCGTCCCACAGTTACTATAAAAACAACAGACATAGCCCCACTCCACAAAGGGGGCAGTAAAGCAACAGCAAAGAACTACAGACCAATAGCACTAACATCCCATATCATAAAAATCTTTGAAAGGGTCCTAAGAAGCAAGATCACCACGCATCTAGAAACCCATCAGTTACACAACCCAGGGCAACATGGGTTTAGAACAGGTCGCTCCTGTCTGTCTCAACTATTGGACCACTACGACAAGGTCCTAAATGCACTAGAAGACAAAAAGAATGCAGATGTAATATATACAGACTTTGCAAAAGCCTTCGACAAGTGTGACCATGGCGTAATAGCGCACAAAATGCGTGCTAAAGGAATAACAGGAAAAGTCGTCGATGGATCTATAATTTCCTCACTAACACAACACAGAGAGTAGTCGTCAACAGAGTAAAGTCCGAGGCAGCTACGGTGAAAAGCTCTGTTCCACAAGGCACAGTACTCGCTCCCATCTTGTTCCTCATCCTTATATCCGACATAGACAAGGATGTCAGCCACAGCACCGTGTCTTCCTTTGCAGATGACACCCGAATCTGCATGACAGTGTCTTCCATTGCAGACACTGCAAAGCTCCAGGCAGACATCAACCAAATCTTTCAGTGGGCTGCAGAAAACAATATGAAGTTCAACGATGAGAAATTTCAATTACTCAGATATGGTAAACATGAGGAAATTAAATCTTCATCAGAGTACAAAACAAATTCTGGCCACAAAATAGAGCGAAACACCAACGTCAAAGACCTGGGAGTGATCATGTCGGAGGATCTCACCTTCAAGGACCATAACATTGTATCAATCGCATCTGCTAGAAAAATGACAGGATGGATAATGAGAACCTTCAAAACTAGGGAGGCCAAGCCCATGATGACACTCTTCAGGTCACTTGTTCTATCTAGGCTGGAATATTGCTGCACACTAACAGCACCTTTCAAGGCAGGTGAAATTGCCGACCTAGAAAATGTACAGAGAACTTTCACGGCGCGCATAACGGAGATAAAACACCTCAATTATTGGGAGCGCTTGAGGTTCCTAAACCTGTATTCCCTGGAACGCAGGAGGGAGAGATACATGATTATATACACCTGGAAAATCCTAGAGGGACTAGTACCGAACTTGCACACGAAAATCACCCACTACGAAAGCAAAAGACTTGGCAGACGATGCACCATCCCCCCAATGAAAAGCAGGGGTGTCACTAGCACGTTAAGAGACCATACAATAAGTGTCAGGGGCCCGAGACTGTTCAACTGCCTCCCAGCACACATAAGGGGGATTACCAACAGACCCCTGGCAGTCTTCAAGCTGGCACTGGACAAGCACCTAAAGTCAGTTCCGGATCAGCCGGGCTGTGGCTCGTACGTTGGTTTGCGTGCAGCCAGCAGCAACAGCCTGGTTGATCAGGCTCTGATCCACCAGGAGGCCTGGTCTCAGACCGGGCCGCGGGGGCGTTGACCCCCGGAACTCTCTCCAGGTAAACTCCAGGTAATGTCCAGTTTCAAATTCAAATTCAAAGTTTATTCTCTATAAGGATTACAATGCTGAGTTTACAGAAATTTGGTTATTGTGTGGTTTACATGTAGTAAAATTGTGATTACAGAGTGTACCACTAGAACGCTTAGCATGGCTAGGCATTTCGGCAGTGCTACCACACAGCTGACTTGGGATTCATCCAGTGACTGGTGCCACTTAGTGGAGAGGTTTAACAACAGATCAGCAGCAGAGTAACCTTTCCTGAAGCCATATTGACGGTCACAAATTAGTGAGTGGTAGTCAAAAAACTCTGTCATTTGTCTTGAGTGATTGACAGGAGTGACACTGGTCTGTAGTTGCTGATATCTGCTCTGCTCTTCTTTTTGTGAACAGGTACTACATTTGCCTCTTTCCATAGAGAGGGCCATTTACACTGTACTAGGCAGTGCTGAAAGATGCGAGTTAGAGGTGCTGCTAGCTGGTTTAGTTAGTTTTAGTTTAATATCTTTATTACGCAACTAAAACTAACTAAAAGCTGGTCTGCACATCTCAACAATCTTGGGCTCAACTTGTCTGGGCACACAGCCTTTTCTTGGTCAATTGTACTTAAATAAACTTACTTAGACTTACTGACTTATTTATATTAATTACATCTCCTTTAAGACATTATGACTTAAATATAAAAATCAATAATTACCAATATAAAAATGCTGAAAAAGAAACACAAAGCAAGAGATATTAAATAATAATACTTTTAAGTTTCAATGCCAGTGGCAACACCATTGGAATGTTGCTCACAGACGAGTATTGTTATTTTTATATACTGTAAGCAATAATATCCAAAGTAAATATTGGACGATAATAATAATCTTTATTTCTACAGAAGTGGTTTCACCTGAACTTTGAGCAACCTTCAGGAGCCCACCAGCTGTGTATAATTAACAATGGCTCTAAATTATAGACATGTTGCAGTAACTGGACCTCCAGGTAGATTAATTATAAATTGCAGTACGCTCTTATTTAGGCCTCTTATGGGATTTGACACTTTTTACAATGATTTTAAGATAGCAAATTATGTAGGACTGAGCCTACAATTAGCCAATAATGTGGTTTCTTTTTTTTTCACCGGGGACCTTCGGAGAACATTGAAATTTTATTTGAATTATTCTGTATGACCCTTGTGAGTTTAGCGCGTAGTTTGGATTGTAACAATAATAATATTCGAATTATTAAATCTTGGAGAGATAATAAGCCTAGAAACCGGAGATTTCCAATGGGGTCCTTAGCCCTCTTCCAGGATGCAACCCATAACACTTGTAGTAAGTTTATTTGGGTACAGCTACACAGGGCCAGGAGCTGTGACTCGACCCCTGCAACCACAGTTAGGTGAGTACATAAATACAGCTACACAAATTATCATACATAGTAACATATGTGTAAATTACTCAGGATAACCTCCAAAAAAGTCATAATTTCTAACTTCTAATTGTAACTAACTCCTAATTCTCAACTAACTGTTAATTTTTAGATCCCTCATTACTGCCGGGTGAAGAAAGGCAGTAGATGTTAGGAGACTTGCATATTTTTCTCACTCTACCTGGGATTGAACCCAAGTCTTTTCAGATGTGAGCCGAACACTTGTTATATTGTTAATTTTTATTTTTGTTTTATATGCATAACACAATTTTTTTTACAATGGACTTAAGAGCACACATATTATAGGCACATCAAAATAGTACATCATGTAGAATTAACCTAAGATAATATAATACAGTGGAACCCCGGTTTTTGTCTATAATCTGTTCCAGAAGGTCAGCTGGACACCGATTTGTATGAAAACTGAAGTAATATTTCCCATAAGGAATAATGTAAATTAAATTAATCCATTCCAGACACCCAAAAATATTAACAAAAAATATATTTTATAGAGAATAACTATAGTTTTACATACAGAAAACAATGAGAAATAAATATAAAGCACTGATTTTAATGGATAAGTGAACATTTAAATAACTTTTACCATTATTTAAGAGACTTGTTGGCGTATGGAAGATGGCAAGGAGGGGAGAGGGAGGAGGGGGTTATTGTTTGGAAGGGGAATCCCTGTCCATAAGGGCTTCAGGTATCAAAGCTCTCTCTGGGGTTACTTCCCTTCTTTGTCTTTTACTGGCACTAGGACCAGCTTGAGAATCATTGGACCCCTGTTGCACAAAAAATCTTTCCAGAGGGCCTGTTTTTGGTGCCTCTTTAAGATTTGCCTAAACTGGGACACGGCATTGTCATTGAACATGTTGCTGACACGGCTTGCAACAGCTTTGTTAGGGTGATATTTCTCCACAAAACTTTGCACAAATGTCCTTAATCACTGAAGAAGGCACATTCTCCCCTCTCTCTTCCTCCTCCTCTGAAGTAATTTCCTCATCTAAGGTCTGTTGCTGTTCCAGATGAAGGTCTTTCAGCTCTCAGTGGTTATCTCTTCCCTGTGGTCGTCCACCAACTCTTCCACATCCTGGCCACTCACCTCCAACCCCATGGACTTCCTCAAAGACACAATAGAGTTCTTTCTTGAATTCCATAATGTTTCTCACCTTCTTTACCAAAGGGCTGGCACTCTGAACTTTCTTTGGCCCCATGGTGGCTTATTCAGCATTCGCAAGCACAAAAAACAATAGATTATTATGAAATGTTTTGGATGAACTCACTGAATAATGCACACTGAACGAGTAACAAAGGCAGACTGAGTCACAAATGTATGAGCAGCCGTGTCCTGTGGGCAGGCGGACGCATCTGGTATAGACGATTTCTGAACGGATGTATAAAAACGGGGAAAAATTCGCCGAAAAAAGTGGTTGAAAACTGAATTGTATGATAACCAGACCAGACGAAAACCGGGGTTCCACTGTAGTCAAGCAAATTATATGTGCATGTATATGGTTCCACTGGTCCCCTCAAGGGAAGTTCCTTGAGGCCTGTGAGAGGCTCTTGATCTAGGGAACTGGATCTGTGCTCCAATTCCTTGAATTAAGCCTGAATGCCTTCCATCCCCTCCCCCCACAGGTTCTATATAATTCCTCTGGGTTTAGTGCTCCCCATGATAATAATACTAATAATAATTTCCATTGGTGTCCCTTGTGATAATTACAGTGTAGTATAATAAGACATTTGTATTTCAATTTTACCAATTATAAACTGAGTATAATCATTATGAATACAATTCTCTAAAGTAGCATTTTATAACTTAACCTAGGATATCCCTGTAATTCTCAACAATAATTTTATTTTCCTATATTTAATATATCATATTTGTTTGAATGAGGGGTCTCTTGATGCTGATTAAGGGCTCAGTGCTTCTCATGAATATAATAATAGTAAATTTATTATTTGCAGGTGTCGGGAAGACAACATTAATTCAGAAGATAGTATCAAAACTTCAGGCAGCTGGCGTAACCTGTGAAGGATTTTACACGCAAGAATTAAGGCAAGGAAGTAAACGTGTAGGCTTCGATGTTGTCACACTGAGTGGCAAGACCGGTGTATTAGCCAGAGTCAAGTAAGTGAAGGTTTACTTAAACACTGGAATATTCTTCTGTTTCATGAATCTCTATGAATACGTAATCTAAAGTTCATTGATATGTGATCACAACTGTTATCAGAAATCAGTTACAATACTAGAATAACCACTTAATCAGATTCCAGACAACACAGAACCCCACTATTCAAAAGTCGTAATTTACTCAAAACACAACACATTTACACCTACTAATGTGCATTTTATATAGGTACACTACACAGGATATACGTAGTTGAACCTCAACCCATACTCCAACTCTTCCTGGAGAGCTGCAACAGAAAACAGACAGTGTATGAAATAAGTATCTCTGGTATACCACATGTTCAGCTCAACCTGTCTAGGAGATCTGTGCAAATAAAGGGCCTTAAAATTTAGAACTCCCTTCCAAAAGATGCAAAAAAGGTTCCTTTTTGCTGCCTGCATTACAAATACTATTGAATAATTAAAAAGCACTTCAATTTGACCTAAACTCTGCACTAATTATATTATAGCCCAGTTAATTATATTATAGCCCAATTTATCATTAGCAACCATATTGAGCCACATCACATTAGCATTCATACTGATTTTCTCTCTATCATCAGTTTATTTCAATATATGTATGTTAACCCTTTCAAGGTTTCGGCTGTACTAGTACGGCTTACGCATCAGGGTTTTTGACGTACTAGTACGCCTAAATTCTAGCGCCCTCAAATCTAGTGAGAGAAAGCTGGTAGGCCTACATATGAAAGAATGGGTCAGTGTGGTCAGTGTGCACAGTATAAAAAAAATCCTGCAGCACACAGTGCGTAATGAGAAAAAAAAACTTTGTGTTTTTGGATTAAAACAGCGACTTTGCACTGTATTTTCGAATGGTATTTATTGCTGTATTCTAGTTTTCCTGGTCTCATTTTATAGAATGGAAGACATATTACAGAAATTGAGATGATTTTGACTGGTTTACAATGAAAAGTACCTTGAAATTGAGCTCAAAGTAGCAGAAATGTTCGATTTTTACCAAAGTTCAAAAGTAAACAAATCATGCTAAGCGTCCAATACACGTCAACTGGTGAGTCTAATATTCTTTCACAAGTGCGCCGATATTATTTATATCATTTCTACACTAATGCAGTAGTCTGCATAACAGTAAATCTTCTATTTTTTGTGAGAATAAAAATTCAAAGTGGAAAGAAAAAGAATGTAAGAGGGGCCTGGGGGCATGACTAATGAACAGAGGAAATGTTATTTTAGTGCCAGGAATGTCTTTCTTGATTATTCTGGACCCTATTCGGAAATTGGCATCTTTTGAAATTTGTGTGAAATTGGCAAAATTGCTAAATTCTGACCACTGTACTGGATAGTTGAAATCGGTAAATGGGTGGTTTCTTGTACTCATTCGATAGAAAAAAAATGGAGTTCTAGCGAAATAGTTATGATTTTTGTCGACTAGTACATTGGAATTGGCCAAAAATAGGGCTCAAAGTGGGCAGAATCGCTGATGCGTAAACATCATCGAGACCGCTAACTTCGTGAAAGCATAATTCCGTAAGTTTTCCATCAAATTTCATACTTTTGGTGTCATTATGATCAGGAAAAGATTCTCTATCTTTTCATAAGAAAAAATAATTTTTTTTTTTAAATTTGGCGACCCTGAGAACAAATCTTGGAGAGGGCCTGGCGACCCTGAAAGGGTTAATAATAAAAAATATCATATACTACTTCAGTATTTACCAGTACAAATGTTATACCAAATTGTAATAGAAAAATCTCAAAATGCCATAAATCATAAACTAATTTGCTGTGTAAAGTGTCAAAGATTGCAAACTATAGAATTCTTGTGAAGCCACCTATTTTGTAGTTGTTCAGTAGTTATAAGTTATTTTTAAAGCTGTCCAGAATACAGCCTCTCATTTAACAACAGAGTTCTGTTCCTAAGACCACACCAATAAATGAATTCGTCGCTAAGCAAGGAGCATACTACAATGGTAGTGGGTTTGTGTCAACCATCTTTGCTATTGTTTTATTGTCACCACTGCACCATCTATAACATTTTTAGTATATTTTTAAATGTTTATACAGTACTGTACATATATTGTAATAAACAGAATAGAGGAAATCAGCTCTTAATATACATTATTTAGGTATGCATACTGGTCAGAGAGCCCATCGTAAGTCTGAGTCGTCGGTAAACGAGTACGCCGCTAAGTGAAGAGAGGCTGTACTCTGCATAACAGGGGGCTTTCTACAAATTATGTTCAACATGTCAGTCACTCCTATATCAACTGTATATATGTACTGTACTTTTTAAAAATAAATACTGTAATTGTCATTGTAATGATTTTCAGTACATGAGATATGTATGACCTCCAGGATTATAATAATAATAATGGAGCCTCTCTTCACTTAGCGACGTACTCATTTACCAACGACTCGGACTTACGATGGGCTCTATTACCAGTATGCATACCTAAATACAGAAGTGTATATTAGAGCTGATTTCCTCTATTTTGTTTGTTACAATATACAGTACACTGCTGTATAAACATTTAAAACATTATCAAAGATGGTTGACACGAACCCACTACCATTATAGTATGCTCCTCGCTTAGCGACGAACTCGTTTACCAATGTGGTCTTAGGAACGGAACTCCGTTGTTAAGTGAGGAGAATCTGTAATACAGTAATAATAATACAAATTTAATTTTAGACAATACATTACAGTCCTTATTTTCTCATAAATTTGGCCAAATTAATATTTGGTTATAATTTGTAGTACTATCTGAAGGGTGTGTAAAGGTAGAAAGTTGAAAGTGAACATAGATAAGAGTAAGGTAATGAGGATATCAAACGATTTAGATAAAGAAAAATTGGATATCACATTAGAGGGAGGGAGTATGGAAGAAGTGAATATGTTCAGATATTTGAGAGTTGACTTGTCGGCAGATGGGTTTATGAAGGATGAGGTTAACCATAGAATTGATGAAGGTAAAAAGGTGAGTGGTGCGTTGAGGTACAGTGGTACTCCGAGTTTTGTACAGCTCCCAACTCAAACAATTATGAAAGTGTATTATTGTAAGTGCTTTTGTAAGTGTATTTTTGGGGGTGTGAAACGGAGTAATCTAATTTACATTATTCCTTATGGGAACAAATTCATTCGGTAACAGCACTCAAACAGCCCTCTGGAATGAATTATGGCCGAAACTCGGGGTACCACTGTATCTATGGAGACAAAAAATGTTATCCATGGAGGCAAAGAAGGGAATGTATGAGAGTATAGTGGTACCAACATTCTTATATAGGTGTGAAGCATGGGTTGTAAATGCTACATAAAGGAGGAGGCTGGAGGCAGTGGAGATGTCGTATTTAAGGGCAATGTGTGGTGTAAATATTATGCAGAGAATTTGTTGTGTGGAAATTAGGAGGTGTGGAATTACTAAAAGTATTAGTCAGAGGGCTGAAGAGGGGCTGTGGAGGTGGTTTGTCATTTAGAGAGAATGGAACAAAGTAGAATGACCTGGAGAGTGTATAAATCTGTAGGGGAAGGAAGGCGGGGTAGGGGTCGTCCTCAAAAAGGCCGGAGGGAGGGGGCAAAGGAGGTTTTGAGGGCGAGGGGCTTGAACTTCCAGCAAGTGTGCGGGAGTGTGTTTTAGTAAGAGTGAATGGAGATGAATGATTTTTAGGACCTGACAAGGTGTTGGAGTGTGAGCAGGGTAATATTTTGTGAAGGGATTCAGGGAAACCGGTTAGCTGGACTTGAGTCCTGGAAGTGGGAAGTGCAATGCCTGCAATTTAAAGAGGGGTTTGGGATATTGGCAGTTTGGAGGGACATCTAAACTGTTGTTTCTGAGCACCTCTGCACAGACAGTGATTATGTATGAGTGATGGTGAAAGTGTTGAATGATGAAAGTTTTTTTCTTTCTTTTTGGGTTGTCTTTCTTTTTGGGTCACCTTGCCTAGATGGGAAACAGCTGATGTGTTAAAAAAATCCTGTTGAATCAATAATTTTCAGAGGATTTTGGGTAGATTATTTTTTTCTGTTGGACACAACTAAAGCTAATACAGTTTTAATTATATTAAAGTGACCAATATTTATATAGTAACAACAATAAGAATTATAATTATATATTTGGAGTAAAATTGAAATTAATGTTATTGTGATGACACAGTTATAAACAGTTCACTGTCTGGATGGCTGAAACCCAAGGCAAACCAGTCCTAAAACTAGCTGGTCAATATGTTGTCCATTGGTTTGCCATGGGTTTGAACCTTCCATGTAGTAAGTTATTAATGCTATTGCATAGTTTCAATCAAAATGTTGATTACAGGGCAGAGAGCGGCAACAGACGAGAGCACCGTGTGGGACAATATGTCGTTGATCTCCCTGCGTTTGAGTCACTTGCTCTTCCTTTACTACGAACTCAGGTATTATATATGTATGTTGTAATGTAGCCAATTTCACTTTAACATTTTTTACTTACTATTTAAAGGCAATGAAAGCATTTGACAGAAGTAATGAATTATAAATGAGACAGAATTCATTAACATGGGGCTTGCTCTGTTATATAGTATTAAAATATTTATACTATACAGTATTAGCTACAAACCAGAATAGTAAGCTGTTATATATAGATCCTAATATTATTCTTATCCCATGTTATATGTACCATATTTCGCGGCTTATAAGACTTGTTTTAGTTTCAATGACACATCATCAGACGTAACTGGGAGAGCTACAGCCCACCCCACACCCCAAACTTATTGCTCCTGTCTCTGACCTTCAGTTTATACAACAGAGGGTAGTTTTTGGAGACATTTTATGGGAAAAAAATGCATCTAATAAGCCGTGAAATATGGTATATTAAATTATGTTTAAATTAATTTGAATATAAAAATGACATTTCATTTGGTCTGTCAAAGTTATTTAAAAAATAAATGGAGTTTTCTACCCCCTCACACTTAGGGGGGCAATGGGGCATCTGTTCCAAATCCCCTTATGTTAAATTTGCAGATATCTGGGAGAGGAGAGACAGGTGTTTGGGTAAGAGACCAAACCTGTAGCCTTGCCAACATCTGCCCTATACTGTACCGTATTGTAGTATGGCTTTATTTTGAGCTTTGTGGTGAAAACATTTCATATAGTCCATTGGGAAGATGAATTTGTAGTACCTAAAAATGTTATTTAAAGTCAGTAGAGGTGTAGTAATGGAATGCAGTTTATCAGTAGAATGAGCTGCAAGAGGCAATAGTAAGTGCTACAATCACTAAAAATTTCGAAAAGCTTTACAGTGGATTATATAGAGAAGAAGAGACACAATGAACTTAGCTCTACTCCCATAGCTGCAGATAGGTCAACACAAATAGGTGATCACACAGTAATATGCTTTTTCAGAGTAGCAGCCCTCATATATTGGTTTTGGATGAGATTGGAAAGATGGAGATGTTTAGCCAAGGATTTGTGAGCGGCGTGCATCAGGCAATGTTGCAGCCCCACGTGACACTTCTCACTACTATCCCTGTTGCAAGAGGCAAACCTATACCACTTGTGGAAGAAATTCGAAACTGCTCTGATATTCTTTTAGTGAATGTGAGCTCATGTTTTTTTGCTTTTAGTGTGGAGCTCTTTTGCTCAGATAATTTAGCACATTATGATAATAATAATAATAATAATAATAATAATAATAATAATAATAATACAGTAGACTCTTGAGTAACGTGCAGCTTTTGTTCCTAAAAATCAGCACTCTTACTTGAAATAGCATTAATTGGAGTGAAGAACATGGGGTAAAATTGTGATTACGTTACTGAGATCTGAAGAAAGCTAATTTTTTTTTTTAAATAGCCTACAAGTCAAAACAAGTAACCTTATCCTACCTTAAATTCTGGTTGTTGTTGCTTCTTGATATGCAAGTGTGGGCAGTGGATTACTGTGGCCTTTCTGAGCTGATGTGAATGACTGTGATTCTTGTGTTGATGTGAATGAATGTGCTTGCCTATTTATGGTTACAGGGGCCAATTCACAGTTCTGGCCCTGCCTTTTACTGGTCACTTCTGGTATTGATGTGGATGGCTGTGGTTCTTGTATATATTTTTGTAGAATTACCGACAATATGTAAAGTGAAAGGACACAAGTGCAACTACTGTGACATTTTATTGTGGCAGCATTTCGCTCTCCAGGAGCTTTGTCAAGCTTTGACAAAGCTCCTGGAGAGCCAAACGTTGCCACAATAAAATGTCACATTAGTTGCACTTTTGTCCTTTTACTTTACATGTGGTTCTTGTGTTGATGTGGATGGCTGTGGGTCTTGTGTTGATGTGAATGGCTGTGGTTCTTGTGTTGATGTGGATGACCATGGTTCTTGTGTTGATGTGGATGCCCATGGTTCTTATATTGAGGTGGATGGCTGTGGTTCTTGTATTGATGTGGATAGCTGTGGTTCTTGTGTTGATGTCCATGGCTGTGGTTCTTGTGTTGATGTGGATGGCCATGATTCTTATATTGATGTGGATGGCTTTGGTTCTTGTGTTGATGTGGATGGCTGTGGTTCTAGTGTTGATGTAGATGGCCATGGTTTTTATATTGATGTGGATGGCTGTGGTTCTTGTGTTGATGTGGATGCAGGGTCATTAGTAGTTGATTGTTGTAGTGGAGGCTCAGGTACTCTGCAATTCATCTCTGGTATGTTTTACCTAACAATACTTTTTACAGGTGATGATACAGCATCATTGCTTGCTCGAAAATCTGATTGCTCTCTTTAAATCACTCAAACCATCCACCACTAAACATCTACGGTTGTGAAGGCATACAGTTTTGTAGTAGGATATGGCTTTCTGCCCTATTTTCAGAGTGCTAAGTGGGGCATTTTTCCTTAGTTTTTGATCAGCCCATACATTCTGTAACTGTTTTGTCTTATTTATCTGTATCAACCTGTTTGCCATTCTTTTCAACAGGTTGCAGTCTCTTATGTTCTTATTGTCTCTGGAGGTTGATTCTTGGAGATCAGACTTAGTGTGCAGCATCACATGAACAATTTGAACACTGGCTCCCAGCATATCTAACACCTCAATTTTTTTTTCAAAACTGTCAGAGTGTCATGCTTTATTTTCTCCTTTGCATCTCTAGCATCAGATGTATTCCTTTCAAATGCCATGGTTAATACCCAGAGAAAAAAATACGGTGATGAATATCTCTAAAATAGCTTGATTAATACACTGAATAAGGCATGTAATAATTCCACAATGGTATTGTGGACAGCATGGGTGGCAGTACAGCAAGGGGTGATGCTGTGCCTTCCCCATCAACAATGGATTTGCCTGTAGACCCAATGTGGTTTTGAGAAAAAATATGTCACTGCTTGGGCAACCAAAATTTTTCATGCAACTTGATTCTATGCTGATTTTTTTCATACTTTATGCATGTAAGATCAGGAGTTTTTTCGCAGAAATCGGATTATGGGTGCAGTCTTACAGTAGTGTTGTGTTGAAATTGCAGTGACTGGTTTTGAGTTAATCAAGAGTTTATTAAATTAATAATTTTTTTTTTTTTTCAACAAGTCGGTCGTCTCCCACCGAGGCAGGGTGACCCAAAAAAAAGAAAGAAAATCCCCAAAAAGAAAATACTTTCATCATCATTCAACACTTTCACCACACTCGCACATTATCACTGTTTTGCAGAGGTGCTCAGAATAAAACAGTTTAGAAGCATACACATATAAAGATACACAACATATCCCTCCAAACTGCCAATATAATAATAATAATAATAATAATAATAATAATAATAATAATAATAATAATAATAATAATAGTTAAAGGTAGTAGGTTGGTAGACAGCAACCACCCAGGGAGGTACTACCGTCCTGCCAAGTGAGTGTAAAACGAAAGCCTGTAATTGTTTTACATGATGGTAGGATTGCTGGTGTCTTTTGTCTGTCTCATAAATATGCAAGATTACAGGTACGTCTTGCTACTTCTACTTACACTTAGGTCACACTACACTGCATGTACAAGCATATATATGTATATATACACATCTCTCTGGGTTTTCTTCTATTTTCTTTCTAGTTCTTGTTGTTGTTTATTTCCTCTTATCTCCATGGGGAAGTGGAACAGAATTCTTCCTCCGTAAGCCATGCGTGTCGTAAGAGGCGACTAAAATGCCGGGAGCAAGGGGCTAGTAACCTCTTCTGTATATATTACTAAATTTCAAAGGAGAAACTTGCGTTTTTCCTTTTGGGCCACCCCACCTTGGTGGGATACAGCTGGTATGTTGAAAGAAGAAGAAGAATAGTAATAATAATTAATAATAATTTTTTTTTTTTTTAAAAAGTCGGCCGTCTCCCACCGAGGCAGGGTGACCCAAAAAAAGAAAGAAAATCCCCAAAAAGAAAATACTTTCATCATCATTCAACTCTTTCACCTCACTCACACATAATCACTGTTTTTGCAGAGGTGCCCAGAATACAACAGTTTAGAAGTATATACGTATAAAGATACACAATACACCCCTCCAAACTGCCAATATCCCGAACCCCTCCTTTAGAGTGCAGGCATTGTACTTCCCATTTCTAGGACTCAAGACCGGCTATATAAAAATAACCGGTTTCCCTGACTCCCTTCACTAAATATTACCCTGCTAACATTCCAACAGATCGTTAGGTCCCAAATACCATTCGTCTCCATTCACTCCTATCGAACACGCTCACGCATGCCTGCTGGAAGACCAAGCCCCTCATCCACAAAACCTCACATTACCCCTTTCTTCCAACCTTTTCAAGGACGACTCCTACCCTGCCTTCCTTCCCCTGCAGATTTACCTGGAGTTTACCTGGAGAGAGTTCCGGGGGTCAACGCCCCTGCGGACCGGTCTGTGACCAGGCCTCCTGGTGGATCAGAGCCTGATCAACCAGGCTGTTACTGCTGGCTGCATGCAAACCAACGTACGAGCCACAGCCCGGCTGGTCAGGAACCGACTTTAGGTGCTTGTCCAGTGCCAGCTTGAAGACTGCCAGGGGTCTGTTGGTAATCCCCCTTATGTATGCTGGGAGGCAGTTGAACAGTCTCGGGCCCCTGACACTTATTGTATGGTCTCTTAATGTGCTAGTGACACCCCTGCTTTTCATTGGGGGATGTTGCATCGTCTGCCAAGTCTTTTGCTTTCGTAGTGAGTGATTTTCGTGTGCAAGTTCGGTACTAGTCCCTCTAGGATTTTCCAGGTGTATATAATCATGTATCTCTCCCGCCTACGTTCCAGGGAATACAGGTTTAGGAACCTCAAGCGCTCCCAGTAATTGAGGTGTTTTATCTCTGTTATGCGCGCCGTGAAGGTTCTCTGTACATTTTCTAGGTCAGCAATTTCACCTGCCTTGAAAGGTGCTGTTAGTGTGCAGCAATATTCCAGCCTAGATAGAACAAGTGACCTGAAGAGTGTCATCATGGGCTTGGCCTCCCTAGTTTTGAAGGTTCTCATTATCCATCCTGTCATTTTTCTAGCAGATGCGATTGATACAATGTTATGGTCCTTGAAGGTGAGATCCTCCGACATGATCACTCCCAGGTCTTTGACGTTGGTGTTTCGCTCTATTTTGTGGCCAGAATTTGTTTTGTACTCTGATGAAGATTTAATTTCCTCATGTTTTCCATATCTGAGTAATTGAAATTTCTCATCGTTGAACTTCATATTGTTTTCTGCAGCCCACTGAAAGATTTGGTTGATGTCTGCCTGGAGCCTTGCGGTGTCTGCAATGGAAGACACTGTCATGCAGATTCGGGTGTCGTCTGCAAAGGAAGACACGGTGCTGTGGCTGACATCCTTGTCTATGTCAGATATGAGGATGAGGAACAAGATGGGAGCGAGTACTGTGCCTTGTGGAACAGAGCTTTTCACTGTAGCTGCCTCGGACTTTACTCTGTTGACTACTACTCTCTGTGTTCTGTTAATGAGGAAATTATAGATCCATCGACCGACTTTTCCTGTTATTCCTTTAGCACGCATTTTGTGCGCTATTACGCCATGGTCACACTTGTCGAAGGCTTTTGCAAAGTCTGTATATATTACATCTGCATTCTTTTAGTCTTCTAGTGCATCTAGGACCTTGTCATAGTGATTTAAATGCTCTCCATGTCATTCTACTTTGATCCATTCTCTAAATGACCAAACCACCTCAACAGTCCCTCTTCAGCCCTCTGACTAATACTTTTATTAACTCCACACCTTCTCCTAATTTCCACATTCTGAATTTTCTGCCCTTAGACAGGACATCTCCACTGCCTCCAACCGCCTCCTCGCTGCAACATTCACAATCCAAGCTTCACACCCATATAAGAGTTTGGTACTATTGTACTCTCATACATTCCCTTCTTTGCCTCCATAGATAACGTTTTTTGTCTCCACATATACCTCAACGCACCACTCACCTTTTTTCCCTCATCAATTCTATGATTAACCTCATCCTTCATAAATCCATCCGCCAACACATCAACTCCCAAGTATCTGAAAACATTCACTTCTTCCATACTCCTCCTCCCCAATTTGATATCCAATTTTTCTTGATCTAAATCATATTATTATTATTATTATTATTATAATAAAAAAGAAGTGTTAAACATACTAAGGTCATACAGTGAATTAATAATAATGTTTATAATGATAAAAATAATGAAAATTTTTACTGATAAAGTTTCCATTTGGTGTACATTATTATTATATTTGCACTAAAAAAAAGTGCTACGCTCATGTGGGTCATAAGATTTAGTATAGCCCTTATGGATTTAGTGCTTCCCTGTGAATATACTCATTATGCAGTACAGTATTTTGCACAGCATAGGCATTTAACTCAGCTTGGTGGATCCCTCAAAGTATTTATGTAAATTAACAGTATCATGATGTTGCAGGTATGTTGTAAATACATTAATGATACCTTTAGTTAGTCACATGCAACATGTTCATTATGTACCCTGCTAAAAATTACAAGATACAAAATTGATGTTATCTCCTTGTTTTTCTGTATAGCTGACACGTGAAAACCGAGATGACTGCGAACTTCACGACAAGATTTTGATAGCGTTAACAACGTCACTTCAGAAATGATGTTCTACATGTGTTCTGGAAGTCCTGTTGACAGATGTATAATTTACATGCAATTAGTTTAAGAAAAAAAAAGCAAGACACATATATATTTAGGAAGAGTGACATGCATACATACTCACAGGAGCTGTGACTTGACACCAGCAACCACATATAGGTGAGTGCACGCGTGCACACACACACACATACACACACACACACACACACACACACACACACACACACACACACACACACACACACACACACACACACACACACACACACACACACACACACACACACACACACATACACATACACATACACACATGCATATGCATAAATAACAAAAAGGCACAATACCGTGACTGGAACGATACACAAATAACCCGCACATGAAAGAGAGAAGCTTACGACGACGTTTCGGTCCGACTTGGACCATTGACAAAGCTTCTCTTTTATGTGCGGGTTATTTGTGTATGCATATGCATACACATATGCATATACACATTATACATACATACTACATTTGCATAAAATTTATTAGAGCAGCATTTTTTTTGATACTTTGAGAAGGGTGTATGTACCTCAGTAATTGGTACATTTAAGAGTTAATTTGGGTTGAAGACAGTATAACAATTGAGGTGATTCCTGACAGCAGTCATATGGACACCATATAAATATGAGCATTGCAGTACTGTATGAATACTTCATCTAAGTGTTCTTTTTGTGAGTGAAATATCTTAGTTTTTTATGAAGTGAAACATTACCTTTTTTTTTTTCTTCTTTGAAGCTTTGGCTACAATATAATATATCATTGAGGATATATTTGAAATTAGTTTTTTGGTGAAAATTTTATTTTGGCAATTATCTGGCAATTCTAACGTTCTTTGTGCTGTATATTAAATGATAAACTGGCTTCCATGCAAATTCACTATATGTCTGAAATAAAATTATTCCCTTAAAATTTATGAAAACTTTGATCCTTCTTTACCTGAAGTAACCTCAATAGTGTCCAGGTAGCCTTTCTGAGACTGCCAATACAGTGGACCCCCGGTTTACGATATTATTTCATTCCAGAAGTATGTTCAGGTGCCAGTACTGAACGAATTTGTTCCCATAAGGAATACTGTGAATTAGATTAGTCCATTTCAGACCCCCAAACATACACGTACAAACGCACCTACATAAATACACTTACATAATTGGTCGCATTGGGAGGTGATCGTAAACCGGGGGTCCACTGTACTTCCATTGTATGAAGGAAGATAATGTTTGTACTATGTATGGACTGATCCAGTTCTAGTGGAGGCACTACCAGCATTGTGTAACCCCAGTGCAAGTGGGAAAGGTAACCTAACCCAGTGCAGGCATTGAAGATAATGTAGCCCAGTGCAGGTGGTAAAGATATCCTAACAGGTAAGAAAAATAACAGCCGTGTGTAGGTGGAAAAGATAACCTAGTGCAATACAGGTGGAATAAATGTGGTAGAAGTGGGAAAATAAAGAAATACAGTGGACACTTTTCAACTCAATATACTGTACCACCTTATTCATTAGTTAAAAATTTACACCAATGATTTTGTAAATCACACATCTTGACAAACATATAAGTGGCTTTCTTAATACAATACCTGCACAATATCACTACACAATGTGTAGGTAGCACAGGTTTTGTGCTGCTTCCCTGACCAGCTCACAGTAAGACACCCCATGATACATTATTATTATTAAATTCAGCCAGTAGGGGTCATACAGTACCTGGGGAATGAGAGGTGATCAGGTTTGAGCCAAGGAAGGAAAAGTAGCTCCAGTTCCTTAGAAGAAGAGCCCTTCACCATCAAGCACTATCTGATTGAAATGTTCAAATCCTGCCATGTAAGTAAGCAATTTACTCTTCCAGGGTTCTAGTTCACAAAAAAAAAAAATTTAAATCTCACTCATCACTTTTATTAATATTTTTCATGAATTACATTTTTTTTTGCAAGCCTGCAAATTGGAAATAATTTTAATCATAAATTATACAGTACTCCTGAAAAAATAAGACCCAGGCTGGCAATACAGTGGACCCCCGCATAACGATTACCTCCGAATGCGACCAATTATGTAAGTGTATTTATGTAAGTGCGTTTGTATGTGTATGTTTGGTGGTCTGAAATGGACTAATCTACTTCACAATATTTCTTATGGGAACAAATTCGGTCAGTACTGGCACCTGAACATACTTCTGGAGTGAAAAAATATCGTTAACCGGGGGTCCACTGTACTATTGATACTATATCTACTTTAATGCATAGGAGCTGATTAACTATTGTGAATCTCATCTGTAGAAGGACCTAAGAACTCCAGTGGAAATGAAGCACATTGCTTTGCTTTCTTGGTTCTCCTGGGCTATTACCCCTGTAAGGTTATTTATCTGAATCAAGTCTTTTTATATGAATCTCTTCAAGGAGAATTCCCTCATGCTGGTGAAATGCTCTTGATCCAAGTTCTTTGAGCTACCTTTTTCCTTGGATCAAACTTTATTACTGTCTATCTCCTATGTATTGTATGACCCCTACAAGTTTAGTGCTTATTCCAATTTTCAACCATGCTGATATGTTTGTGCATGCATGCTTGAGAGAGAGAAAAAATGAATGAATTGAGAGTGATTGATAAATATACAGTACAGCATTACAGTATCTACTTAAAATGTCAGGAGCTCAGGTATGAAGCATGAAATTATACTTCAGCTTTCCACCAGACAGGTTTAGTGCTTTTCTTGATGTACAATAAAACATTATTATATATCAGTGATCTGCTTTGCAGATATGAAATTCCTGAGAATACATGTATAAACAAAAAGGGATTCTAAAACCTATTACGTGGAGTATACCTGGAGAGGGTTTCAGGGGTCAACGCCCCGGCGGCCTGGTCTGTGACCAGACCTCATAGTGGATCAGGACCTGATCAACAAGGTTGTTGCTGTTGGCTGCATGTGACCTGATGTACGAACCACAGCCCAGCTGATCAGGTACTGACTTTAGGTGCCTGTCCAGTGCCTGCTTGAAGACAGCCAGGGGTCTATTGGTAATCCCCCTTATGTATACTGGAAGGCAGTTGAACAGTCTTGGACCCCTGACACTTATTGTTGTCTCTTATGCTAGTGGCACCCCTGCCTTTCATTGAGGTGATGTTGCAGCGTCTGCCGAGTCTTTTGCTTTCATAGGGAGTGATTTTCGTGTGCAAGTTTGGTACTAATCCCTCTAGCATTTCCTAAGTGTATATAATCATGTATCTCTCCCACCTGCATTCTAGGGAGTACAGGTTGAGGAACTTCAAGCGTTCCCAGTAATTTAGGTGTTTTATCGCAGTTATGTGTGCCATGAAGGTTCTCTGTACATTTTCTAGGTGAGCAATTTCACCTGCCCTGAAAGGTGCTGTTAGTGTGCAGCAATATTCCAACCAATATTCCAGCAACCTGAAGAGTCATCATGGGCTTGGCATCCCTAGTTTTGAAGGTTCTCATTATTCATCCTGTCAATTTTCTGGCTGATGCAATTGATACACTGTTATGGTCTTTGAAGGCGAGATCCTTTGGCATAATCACTCCCAGGTCTTTTAAATTAGTTTTTCGCTCTATTGTGTGGTTGGAATTTGTTTTATTATCCAACATAGTTTTAATTTCCTCACGTTTTCCATGTCAGAGTATTTGAAATTTCTCATCATTGGACTTCATATTGTGTTTAGTGTGGCCCAATTTAGTTAATGACCATCTGTAGTCTTGCAATGTCTTCAATGGAGGACACTGTCATGCAGATTCGGGTGTCATCTGCAAAGGAAGACACAGTGCTGTGGTTTACATCCCTGTCTATGTCAGATATGAGGTTGAGGAGCAGTATGGGAGCGAGTACTGTGCCTTGTGGAATAGAGCTTTTCACCGTAGCCGCCTCAGACCTTACTCTGTTTACTACTACTCTTTGTGTTCTATTTGTTAGGAAATTATAGATCCATCTACCAACTTTTCCTGTTTTTCATTTATCACACATTTTGTGTGCTATTACACCATGGTCACACTTGTCAAAGGTTCATAAAATGACTACTTGAGTTTAACCCCAATAAGTACATGATGATGATGATGATGGGATTAAAAAAAAAAACAGTTACAAAATAATGAGAGGAAGATGGTTGCTAGTGTTAGAATGGTAGAACAACATAAGAATGGACATAAACACTAATCTTACTACAGGAGTTATCATAAGTAAGTAAGTAAGTAAGTAGGTAAGTTTATTCAGGTATACACAAATAGTTACATAAATTATCATACATAGCAGCATATGTGTAAAGAACCTAGGATAACCCAAAAAAGTCTGACAAAGTGACTTATTTCCATTGGGGTCCTCCCTTTTCTTAGGTCAGATTTGATTATTTACTATTTCCCAGACACTGCATGACCCCTACAAGTTTAGCTCTTCCCCATACATTTATTAATAGATGCTACAGAGTTAGGGTGCATCAGTCTGATTGTCAGTTGAAAGGCCTGGCTGAAAAATCTGAAAAGTGATCTCTGCCTTAAAACTAGTGGACTCTTGATCCAAGGAAGTTGAGCTACTCCTTTTTCCTTGAATCAAACCTGATTACATCCCAGTCCCCCATGGGTTTAACACTACTTCATGAATAATATAGTAAAACTCAATCTGTACAAATGGAGGGGGAGAGGTAGAGACACAAACAAAACATTCAATACCTATGAAAAAAAGGTAACAGAAGAATTTTTGCTCCATACTCAGGTGATCTGCCAGGGAAAATAACATGTATGGTACTTGGAAAGCCTGCAGACTGTGTGAATGAAGGTGAGAAACTCTGAGACAATGAACTGGTGCTTTCCTATGTTTTCTTAGAATCTTAATTGTACCTGAGCTATACTTCTGTGGATTGAACCTGAGTGCTTCACATTTTTCTCCATGCACTATAGGACCCCGATGGGTTTAGCGCTTCCTCTCCTAGAATGGAGTATCTAGTATCAACGTCCTCGCAGCCTGGTCCATGACCAGGCACGAGGAAGCGCTAAACCAGTAAGGGCTATTATGTATATCCTCGAGGAAACACTAAACCCTCGAAGATCCAACAGAGTGGGAATGGGGTAGTGAGGGAGGAGGGGGATAATCAGGTTTAATCCAAGGAAAAGGAGGATGTCTCCAATTCTTCAAATCAGAAGCCCTTCACTGGTCCCAGTATGACTTACATGGGTAGGAAGTACAGTGTCTGCACGCTGAAGAAGGGGTGGGGATATGTTGCAGTTTTTGAACTGTAGTACTGGCACACCTCTGGCAAGATAGTGATGGAGTGA